TTCTGCCATCAGCATCCTGGTGTGGGTTGGGTTCTGGCTGCCAGATCTGTACCTTGGGCTCTACTTCCAGCAACATCCTGGCACTTGTGAGATCCTGGCTTCTGGAGCCGTGCCTCAGGCTCTGCTGCTGGCAGGTGGTTGCCTGGAGGCACCTTGGCCACAAGACCAGCATCCCAGAGCAGTGTTCCCTATAAGTTGTGCGCTTGTATGGCTGCTCAGAAGAGATTTAAATTAAGGATGATAAATAGTGGTTATCTAGCTAATTGTGTAGTTGATGCAAATTGTATCGACGACATGATTAATCAATAAGGGGGCCCTCTGCAGAGCAGCAGTGGCAGCTAGCTTGAGCTGGGATTGAGCAGTCCTGGCTTATGCTGGCTTTGGACCGCTTTAGCTATGCATTTTAAATGTAGTAAGAGCTGTGGGGTATAAGCTTATGCTTATTGGATAGTCAAGTAGTCAATTGCTAATTTACATCCCTACCTTAAATGCCACCTAGCTGATTAGCACAGCACCCACATCTAGGTTTTTTGTTTCTTCTGGTGGTGTGCATTTGCACTTATTTGGTGCACATATAAATTTATTCCACGTATGGATGGAAAATATCTGCACATGGATGGAAAAGATTAGTGGGTTGCTATACTTCAAAGGCAAAAGTGCTGCGGGGAGCCCGGGGTCTGCCACTTTGAAATGCCACATGCAGTCCCCCACTGGCCCAGTGCTCCCTGTGGCGTTTCAAAGTGGCAGTGCTACATGGAGCCTGGGATCAGCAGGGGAGTCTGCAATTGACTCTGGGCTCCACGTGGTGCTGCCACTTTCAAATGCCACTTGTAGCCTGAGGCCAGCTGGGGACTGCACGTGGCGTTTCAAAGTGGCAGACCCTGGGCTCCACACGGCGCTGCTGCTTTGAAACGCCATGTGCAGCCTGAGGACTGGCCTTGGGCTGCATGTGGCATTCCAAAGTGGCAGCGGCAGGGTCTGGCTGTGGGCTTCATGCGATGCTGCCACTTTGAATTACTCTACTCTACTCTCTCCCTGTTGCTGCTGCTCTCTGATAGATGCTGCAAGTCGGGAATGGGGGTGGGGAGAGTGACCAGTCGACTAGTGTGTTGACTATCCAATAAGCTTTTGCGTATCGGATAGTTAACTAGTTGTTCACATCCCTGCTTAGAGATGCTATAACACGCTTTGGGAACATAGAACATGTCCATTATATAACAAAGTCTAATTCTTTCTC